AGGTTGAGTAATTTTGTTAAGGTCACACAGGAAGAAAAAGACACATGCAGAAATTAATCTCAGCTTTAACTCCAAACCTGGGCTTTTTACTTCTGTTATGATATTGTTTCTCAATACTAAAGGCGTAGTGACTTAATAAATAAAATCGCCACAATACAATCCTTTTACCTTTTTTAACAATTATTTTTAGTTTTAAATTATGATTTGTGGTTTATTTATTGGCAGATCCTACAGGTCTCTGGTACCGTGTGAGTTCTGGAAGAGCCTTATTTAGATTCACTATATTAATACATTCACACTGAACACTCAGATAGGTATTGACCAGTTTTATACTAAAATTTTTATATTCATAATTTTAAAAGCAAAGCTTTGTTAGTAACCTATATGATAATATCCAATTAATTTTAAATACAGAATAGTACTTTTAAATACTAAGCTATAGGTAAGTAATTGGATTACTACTGTCTTCCTCTAAGAATACACCAAAGTGATATCTTCCATATAGTTTTCATAGAGTATGTTTATCCAGTCTTAGTATTTAGTTGAGTTCAGACAAACAAGCACCATCCATGTGTGGAGTACAACCTTCCTGTGTATGGCTCTAAGGGAAGGGACCATCTCCTGACACACCTGCCTCTCACCTCCCGATTACTGCCTTTGGCAAAGGACTGCTATTGACATACCTTGCTGAAAAAGGAAAAAAAAAAAAAGAAAAGAAAAAAAAAAAGATTACTCTTTAAAGAATTGTATGTCAATAAAGAGAAAAGGTCAGTATCCATTTGATTGTTTTTTAAGTTTCAAGAAAAGTATTTTTCATGGGTGACATTGCTGTTTCTTTGACCAGGAAATAATACTTTTGAAATCTGATATGTACTCACTAAAGGTGCAGTGCAAAATGAATCCTCACTTATATCTGCTCAAAGGCTGGAAAGGATTCTATTTAAACTAGAGGCTCTGTGCACGAATTCATGAACCAGTGGGGTCCCTCGGCCTGGCCTGCAGGATTGGGCTGAAACCAGCTCTCCAACATCCCCCAAAGAACCCTGCCAGTGCATGACTGGGGCCAGGGAGGGACACAGGAGTTTGACTAGCTGGGAAGGGGCTGTGGGAGGGCGCCAGGGCATGTCCAGCTTGTCTTGTTCAGTCCCGATCAACCGGATCCCAACAGCTAGCTAACCTACCAGTTGGAGCATCTGCCCCCTAGTGGTCAGTGCACATCATAGTGAGCAGTTTAGCATCCTTAGCATATCGTTAGCATATTATACTGGTTGAACGGATGACCAGACCATTGGACACTTAGCATATTAGGCTTTTATTATATAGGACCAGAGGCTTGATGCATTCAATTCGTGCAAGAGGCTTGGTCCTCGCAGCCCTGGCTTCATCCCGAAGCTCATCCAGAAGGTCATCAGGCTGTTTGGTCTAATTAGCATATTAGCTCTTTATTATATAGGATTAGAGGCCCGGTGCACAAAATTCATGCACGAGAGTGTGTGTCCCTCAGTCCAGCTTGCACCCTCTCTGATCTGGGACCTTTTGAGGGATGTATGACTGCCCATTTAGGCCCGATCCTACGGGGCAGTCAGATATCCAGGACTGCTGGCTCCCAACTGCTTGCTTGCCTGCCTTCCTGATTTCCCCTAACTGCTTCTGCCTGTCAGTCTGATCACCACCTAACCACTCCCCTACCAGCCAGATTGCTGCTAACTGCCCTCCCCTGCAGGCCTGGTCCCCCCCCAACTGCTCTCCCCTGCAGGCCTGGGTCCCCTCCAACTGCCCTTGCCTACAGGCCTAATCGCCCCCAACTTCCCTCCTCTGCTGGCCTGGTCACCCCTAACTGATGCTCCTACAGGCTTGATTGCCCCCAACTTCCCTCCCTTGCAGGCCTGGTGCCTCCCAACTGCCCTCCGCTGCTGGCCATCTTGTGGCAGCCATCTTGTGTCCACATTGGGGCAGTCATCTTTGACCACATGGGGGCAGCCATCTTGTGTTTTGGAGTGATGGTCAATTTGTATATTACTATTTTATTAGATAGGATAGAGGCCTGGTGCATGGGTGGGGGTCAGCTGATATGCTCTGAAGGATGTCCAAGATCAGGGTAGGGGTTCCCTTGGGTTGTGAGGCATCCTGGGCGAGGGGCCTGTGGTGGTTTGCAGGCTGGCCAACACCCCAGACACCCAAGTGGAGGCCCTGTTATCTGGGATTTATTTATCTTCTATAATTGGAACTTTGTAGCCTTAAACGGAGGCCAAGGCAGGCCAGGACAGGCAGAAAGCTTGGCTTCCTCTATTGCTGTGGAAATCTAAGCCTCCTGCTCTCTCCATGGCCATAGCCATCTTGGTTGGGTTAATTTGTATGCTCGATCCTGATTGGCTGGTGGGCACGGCTTATGGGGTCAATTTGCATATTACTCTTTTATTAGGATGTTCATTTCTCCATTTAATTAATAGCTATTTTTAAAAGTTAGGTATTACTTTTAATGAAATAGTTTGATTTCCAAAAGAGAAACTGTGGCTTTTGAGTCTGGCAAACTAACAAGTAGCTTTATATAAATTGTGTTTGAAATCTCACAACTATTAATACAATTGCCATAGTTTCCAGTTTTTAAGTGATAGGATTCTAATTCAGCTCTCCATAGTTCTAGACATTGCCCCATGTTTCTTACATCTAGTGCTGACTAAATTAACATGTTATTCCAATCCAAAGCTTGTAAGTCCTGAAGGAGATCCTTAGCACTTTGTCATCCCACTGCAGTGACCAAGATCAGGTGTTCCAGCTGCAAATGGAGGGGCTCAGCCTGGCTCCTTGAGTGACTATGTGGAGCAGAACTCCCCTATGGGCCTGTGTTTGACATGTGATGTGTTAACTTTTATGTTAAGTGGCTGATCTCCAAGGATATTCTATTCCAATACAATTTTCTTTGCTTCTTCTCCAGGTGATCATCTTCTCCCTTGGACCATCTCATTGGTTTTATAAAAGCTCTTTGTTTTTTAAAGATATGAACATTTTATTTGTTTTGTAGGCTGCAATTTTTCTCCCTGACTATAATTTTGCTTACAATTTATTTTGATGAACAGAAATAATTTTGCTTATTCTTGAATAAGAATTTTAAAAAGTTTTATATACGTAGTTAAACTTATCAACTATGTTCTATGGCTTCTTTTTTTTTTAATCGTATATAGAAAAGACCTTTACTTGCCTAGCTCATAATTTTCTGATTGTCATTTCCCCATTGAGCAGAAAAGCTACATCTGGACTTGATATTTTCTATTTTTATGTCTGTTTTATACTAATTTATTTATTATTGTGTTTTAAGTATATGTTCTGTTATATGATGGGGCTAGTTCCTCTATATTCCAAAAATATTATTGGTATTCATATGCTTTCACTCTTCTAGATAAATTTTACAATTTATAAAGTTCTAGAAAAGAAAATGTATTGGGATTCTATATGAAATTATACTAAATGTATATGTTGCTGAGTTTTCTATCAAGAAAATGGTGTGTATCTTCATTTAGTCAGACTCTTTAAAATTTTATGTTTTCTTACATATTTTTTTGTTAAATATATTTTTAGGTATTTTATAATTTTTAAAAAAATACATTTTATTGATTTTTTAAAGAGAGGAAGGGAGAGAGATAAAGAGCTAGAAACATCGATGAGAGAGAAACATCCACCAGCTGCCTCTTGCACACCCCTTACTGGGGATGTGTCCGCAACCAATGTACATGCCCCTGACCAGAATCGAACCTGGGACCTTTCAGTCCGCAGACCAACGCTCTATCACTGAGCGTTTTCAGCAGTATTTTATAATTTTTATTGCTATTGTGAATGTTTTCTTTTTATACTAGATTGTATTATTATTAATAACAAATTAATAATAAATTTTATTGCTGTATACTTAACTGGTAAAACAGAATAAATAAACTTTAAAGACTTGAGAATATAATTTAAACTCATTCCAGTTCAATGATTACCTAGAACCTAGTTAAGGCGGACATTATACATAAGGTCTCAAAATGGAGAAGAAATGTCTCTGCTGTGCCAGCCTGAGAAATGTGGTGACCCCCTCGACTGTGTCACAGTGGCTCTTCAGTGAGCCTCCCTCATCCCTTTGGGAGCTTAGGCCACTGCCCTCTGGAAACTGTTCCCAGAACTGACTAGGAGGTTGCTTTTCAAAGATGGCATTTTCTGTATTACATTTGTTATCTGTATGAAGCTCCAAAGAGGAATTCCCTGGTCTTTGCTCCTCCTGAGAAACTGCTTTGTGCTTTCATCTAGTGTCCCTGATTATAAAGCATGTAACTTATAGCATGTCCTTCTGCACTGGCTGCTAGAGCACAGAGTCAAATTTTCACTCACCTCCAACAATACATAAGCATTACATGGATACATTTGAATTCTAAGCTTAATCCTGGCCTTATTGAGCTTTCTTTACTCTCTTATGCCTGTTTTTACTATTATTATTATTATTATTATTATTATTATTATTTTGTTCCATATTTTATATCTTTGTAATCCCCTTTAAATTCTTTCTGGATCAAAACAGACTTGAAAATGCTTAGACGAGTATGTATGCTTCAGTCCATGCTCTAGTTCATAAAATTGCATGATAAATATAATGACCACACTATTTGACATACAGAACTTTGTTTTGAAGTAAAGAATTATAAATTCTTTGAATTTACAGATTGGTTCACCTAGAATAATCTTGGCCTTAATTTCTAAAATCAAATTCACTTTTAAAAACATTCTGGTAAAATGATTACACAGGAAACTGTCATTTTAAAGCCTGACCAGGAAATAAATACTTCATGAGATTCATCATATTACTTATTTTTCTCTCTCTTACCATTTAGAAATGTGTGTTTGCTTTATTTTGTGCTTAATACTGAAAACACAACTCAGCAAAGATTTATTATATTTTCATATTTCAAACTTTCACAGAAAAAGAATTTTTAAGTTATATAAATTTGAAATAATGTTTTTGTCACCCAGCATTAAAATGTATAAAAGCAAAACAGAATGTTGTTGTTTTTTTTAACTGAAGGTATATTTCCAAGACAACATAGATAGGACAAATACAATTTATGGAAATAGTTTTTAGAAATATTTATATTTCAGTGAAGTATATTAAACTTAATAAGTTTTAAAAAATGTGAACAAAGTCATTTTAGAAAGTAATTTGTAATACTAGAATAGATCTATAAGTAGTCAAACTCTAAATAATCTTACTTTAAGCAAGTGAGCAAGGAGACCGAAGGAAGACATTAAAAAATAAACAAACAAAAAACAAAAACAACATCCAATTTGCTTAACCAAGTGTTCCTGAGGCCTTCTGGGCACGAAGAACGACAGTGATGAGGCCACAGAATTGCCTGCGAGCAGCAGCTGAGTGTTTTACACAAGAATCCCAATGGACAGGGATACTCCTTGGGAAACAGTGGGCTGGATTAATTTTGACAATAATAAGCTTTTCACAAGAGACTTTTCACAAAGCATAAGGTGATCTAATCAGACTACACTTTGCCAGAATCCTGAAGTCAGAAGCACAACCATGTCAATGCAAGTACCCTCATTCTGACTCAGAGAGAACCTTTCTAATGCTTTTATTTAAAGAAATAAAATTAATGAGGGAATTTCATAGAAAGTGTATAGGATTAATGTCTTGTTTGAGCCACTTTTGTGTTTATTTGTTACTTTATAGAAATCTGTAACGATCTGCTTCTTTACTTTTCAGCTTCATCAGTGCTCCTGGATGGAATATGAGGTCAACGATGTATACTTCAGGAGGAGGGAGACCTCCAATCACTCCCTTTTGAGATTCATTCATCAGCTTCACTTCATTCCAAGCTCTGCCGTACTCCCCTCGAACCAGAGAGCAGCCTAGGCCAATTTTATCAGCCAGAGCCTGTGGGAGAAAACACAAGATCAACCAAGAGTGAGGAGGGAGATGGGGTGGGGAAAAATTCTCGGTTGTAAGACCCACCTTGGTTGAAGGTGAAATATACAACTCTTGCAGAGAAGTGCTTAGAAAGGAGGCTGAAACATGTGGAGTAATGTGATAGGAGCCAAGAAAATGTGATATGTTCCCTGGTTCCTCGAGATCCTGTAGATTTAAAATTTCTGTGTAGGTCCTGCTGGGAAGTGACATTTTTCAGGCAGCGACACTGCATTGTATCAGGACAAGATTGATAATGCCATCGGAGAAAAGCTATTCCACCGGCTTTCAGCACTAGCGCCTCTATCCATCTTTCCAGGCTCCCAGGCTGCTCTCTGGGATTGAAGGAGGGACTGAGTGGGTGGGGACCTGTTTCTAGCCAATTCCTTCTGTGATGGACAGATGCTGTGGGGCAGGAGGGAACGTAGGAGTGGCCGGTCCTTCTTGGGCTGCCTGCTGCTGTCTCCTCAGGGTTTACTTATGTTCTGGGGGAGTTATTTCTTCTGTTTGTCTGGGTGTTGAGGTTATTTTAAAAAGTACCCTGGAAATAATCTAGAAACTTCCTAGCCACAGTACAGTGGATAGGCTCAGGCTGCCCGGGTTTGAATTTCAGCTCAGCCACTTCCTAGTTGTCATCTCAAGCAAATGGCTCCGCCTCCGTGTGCTTCCATTTCCTCGGCTGTAAAATGAGGATAACAATGGTCTAAACCCGTGGTCGGAAAACTGTGGCTCGCGAGCCACATGTGACTCTTTGGCCCCTTGCGTGTGGCTCTTCCACAAAATACCAGGGCCTGCGCGAGTCTATTTTGAAGAAGTGGCATTAGAAGAAGTTTAAGTTTAAAAAATGTGGCTCTCAAGAAATTTCAATCGCTGTACTGTTGACATTTGGCTCTGTTGACTAATGAGTTTGCCGACCACTGGTCTAAACACTCTCCGCATCGGGTGGTACACAGTGGAAGTGAATTAATACATGTCAAGTGCATAGAGCTGTGAATGCTGGCACACAGTGCGTACCCAGGAGGTGTTCCTAGTACCATAGGGCGGGAATTGTGTTTTTCAGTAATCCCTATATTCAGTTATTAATGTAATTTATCTGAATGCATAGCATTCTGTGATACTGTGATTTCTAATAAGAAATATATTTTGGTCTTCATCAGGGTTTCTGGCACAGAGCTCCTAAAACCCTGGGAATTTCCTAAGTAATGAGAAATTACTGCATCACAAACCCTGATGAATACCAAAAAGGCGCCTTTTGTTATGATAAGGAGGTGACTTGGACACACCTGAGGATGGGGACAGATTGCCTGGAAAATCAACCACTTGATTAGATGTTTGGAAGTTTTGGTCCTACTCCCTCCCCCTACCTCTGAGGAGGGAAGAGGGGCTGGGAGTGGACTCAGCCAATGGCAGTGATTTAATTGGTCACGCCTATGCAACGAAGCCGCCACAAAACCCCGAAAGGACGGGGTTCGGAGAGCTTCGGGGGTGAGGAACAGGTAGAGATTTGGGGTGAAAGCTCCACACCCTTCTCCCATACGTGAGCCTATACTCTTCTCTCCATCTGGCTATTCCTAAGCTACATCCTTTTATGATAAAATGGTAATCCAGTAAGTAAAATGTTTCCCTGAGTTCTGTGAGCATTTCTTGCAAATGAATCAAACCCAAGGATGGGGTTGTTGGAAGCTTCTTCTATAGCTGTTCAGTCAGGCAGAGGGGTGGAATACTCTCGTCTTTCTTCCTTACCTGCTATAATCCTATGTCACTTCCACTATACCATTTTCTCTCCTAAAAAATTCCCTGACATCACCTTAGAATCCACAAGTCTGGCTTTGGTATACCTTGTATGGAACTGTCACTTTGGAATCTCTGTATTCCCAAACCCTAGAAGAGGCACTGGCTCTCAGTTGGTACACGATAAATGTTGAATGAATATGCTGTCCGTAGTCTGTGACTATATACAGTATATACCTGTGTATATGTATATACACATATATACCTCTCAAATACAAGTAAATCTAAATAATACCATATTTCCCCGAAAATAAGACAGTGTCTTATATTAATTTTTTCTCCCAAAGTTGCGCTAGGTCTTATTTTCAGGGCATGTCTTATCTTTCCATGTGCTAGGTCTTATTTTCGGAGGATATCTTATTTCCGGGGAAACACTGTGGGATTAATATTATCCAATTAAATACTAGCAGCTTGCTCACTACATTATGATAAAGAGAAAACATTTTTACCTCATGGCAAATGAGACAAACATCTTAAATACCTTGAAAAGCAAAGCTCGATGGCAGAAGATTCCTTTTTTGATCTGTCCAATTGGAACAACATTGGATTTAAGTTGAAATTTTAGTTCACTTATATGAAGTTCCCAGCTGAAATCCTGTAGTTTATCTTTTGGAATTTTACCGCCCATTTTTTCTGCCACGTACCTGTGTTAATCAATCAAGTTGAATCTCACTTTAGACAATTTGAGTATAGCTATATGTAAAATTATATATTTTTTTCCTTGATTTTGTTTACTTTAAAAATGTACTTATTATAACTAGAATAACATTCTGCTTACTAATTCAAAGTAGCATTTATAAACAGATACTCTAAACATTTCATTCATTACTTGACAAGAAATGAATGCTAATTTTCCCAATACTTACAACAAGATACAAATCAGTACCACTAAATTTCTCTCAATGCAATTTTAAAATTTTATCCTACTCTTAAAAAGTATTTGCAAATGATTCAATCTAAAAATCAAAGGCATTGTAATAACGTAGTCCTTTTTTTTTTAAAGAAATTTAAACTCAGAGAAGAGTACATAGAAATTTTCCCATTAGATCCCCAAGTATTTTTAAGTTTCATAATTTTTTTCTCTTATTTTAATTATTTTTTTTTAAATTTGGAGAAGGATATGGTATTTATGTAACACTGAAGATGGAGGAGAGAGGAAGAAGCAAAAAGGAAAAATTAGTAAACAGGTGAGCAGGTGCTTTGGATGTATACTTTGGCTGTGGACTTCTCTTAGTATTAGGCTCTCACTGAAGAAGTCAGTAAATGCTCGGCAAAAATTCTCTGTAGACTAAGATTACTACATCTTGGAGTAAAGGTGGAATTGCATATTTTAAAGAAAGAATTTTCCTTTTGTATGTAGAACTGAGCAAAGAACAACAGTGACAACCAAAAGAAAGAGTTTAGAGAAAGCTAGTTATCTGCCCTGCAGACCCACCTGGCCGCGGGGACTGCAATGAGGGATAGCAACCAAAACATGGGGACAAATCTCTGTGTCTCTATCTTCATGTGGGCTTGGGTTAACAAGGCAATTAGTTGGGAACTGATGAGGCATATTTCTGATAGGAACAAAGCACGAGGAAACTTGACAAATGTCCAGATGAGCTAAATCAGAGTTCTGCTGAGTCATCACTTCCCAAGGACATTAGGAAAACTTTAGCAGCCAAAAATGTTCTATTCCAGTGCTGGTGGCTGTGTTTCTTGCAGTTGTTGCATCCAGGTTTGATGACTGCAGCTCCCTTCTATTTGGAGTAGATATGAGCTCCCACGGAGACCGCAGCTGTTGCCAGTCCAGTAGTTCAGCTGCTGGTTGGTGTCAGTCAGGGAGGCTCTCCGCTTCTAGTGATTCCTAATCCCTTACAGCTCCCACGTTAAGTTCTCAGCTTCTCTTAGTGAAGTGGTTCTCAACCTCTCTAATGCCACAACCCTTTAATACAGTTCCTCACGTTGTGGTAATGTAATGAATCGTAATGTAAATATCTGTGTTTTCCGATGGTCTTAGTCTCTACAGCAGCTCTCGCGCGCTAGCAGGGTGGTCTAAGACCATCAGAAAACATAGATATTTACATTACAATTCATAATAGTAGCAAAATTACAGTTATGAAATAGCAACGAAAATAATTTTATGGTTGGGGATCACCACAACATGAGGAACTGTATTAAAGGGTCGCGGCATCGGAAAGGTTGAGAACCACTGTCTTAGTGGAACCAGATTAAATGCTCCCAATAAGAAGGTAACTTCACTGTTTATGCAGAATGCTGGGCCTGCCCAAATATTTTAGAATACTCATGCTCCCACTTTAGAGCAATGTGAAACATATAACATAAAAATAGGGGTTGGTTATTTGTATTAGAAAGTAACTTGTGGGTTTACAAATAATTCACAATAGAATTTCTTTAAATCTTGAGCACCCTATATTTCCAGGGAATTGTTTCATTTTCAAACTTTTGATTTTATTTATAACTTCTTCAAGGTGAAGATTGAAAGATGCTTTTCATGGTTTTCCTGGAAAAATGACAGGAATTTTTTGCCTATACTCATTTATTTATTTTAGTAAAACATAGTTGGCATATACATAGGTATTTTTCTTCAGGCAATTTCAAGCTACTGTTTCTTTTTATTGGCAGAAATCTGATCTAAAATAGAAATTGAGAAATTTCCCTCCCAATTCATTGTATTTCTGTTTCAGAGTTAGAGGTAGGGAACTATAAAGTTCAATTTTATTATGGTGTCATTGTCTAAAAATTGGCTGAAAAATGCAAACCACTAAAATAAAACATATTTTCCACAAATTGTATATGCATATATAAACCACTTACTTTGCAAGAGTCTCAATCTGTTCCCTTGTATTGGTTATGGGAAGAATTGATTTGGTCACTTCATACACATAAACACAGAAATCAGGATCAGCAGGAGGGGACCATTCTTTATCTGTGTTTCCTTCTCCAGCCCATCTTAGTACCACTGTAGCCTCTTCCTCCTCCTTTTGTTTTTCCTCCTCTTTTTTACCTTTACTTTTCCTTTAAGAGTAAACAACAACCATCAAAATCACAAAATGAATAAGCACAAACTTCTCTGAGTTCATCTAAAGAACATCCCAGAAATAAAGTATTTATATCTCAATGACTATACAATATTGTTGTCAAATTTTCAATGACAATGATAGATTTTTAGAGTTTCTATGCTTTGCAATAGATATTAATTTCGAGAACACACACACACACACACACACACACACACACATATATATTATGAAAATTATCTATTGGTTTTCTGAACAATTGTGTAGCAAGATTCCTGGCTTGATGGAATAAGTATGTAATAAATATTTATTGAATTGAAAAAAAATAGGTTGCCTTCTCATGGAGTCTTTGCCAATTTCATATAATCTCTTGCTTCAGTTGACACCTTCTGAAGGAAGAATGTGGTTCACAATTTTTAGGAGAAATTATTGAAAGCATAGAAAAAAGCAAAACAAAACAAGGATGGCATAGAATTCTTATCATGCAGGGAACAAAGACTCACCAAAAGTTTATCTGGGGAAATGTAGTTAGTTATTTTTGAAATTAAATTTATTGGTTAATAAAACATGCAGGTTTCAAGTGCACAACTCAATAAAATATCATCTGCACACAGCATCATGGGCCCCTGCCAAAGCTAAGTCTCTTCCTGTCCCCATTTATCCCTCCTTCACTCACTTCCACCTCCCCCCATTACCCACTGAAATGTACTTTGTTTTGTACTTAGGAAAAATGGAATATACTTAGTAAACAATGAATATACTAGTTAATTAAAATATAATATTAATTAAAATTTCCAGATTTAGAGAAATTACTAATTATTATATAGGTTTTTGTTAACCAAAGATGCAAATTATTTTGTCTAATGGAAAAGATACTTTCAAAGGTTACAATTTATTGTTCCATAGGATGCTTAATGTCCTACAGTACGTTTTGTTTTGTAATTTGTCAGTCTTTTTCTAACATTTCTTAACTAAGTAACTAGCTTCTCAAATGTTCTTTGGCCCAATATTGGGTCATCGTACTGATTCTCTCTAATGATGAGTTTAACAAAAACAATGGCATGGGTTCTTTCTCCCACTGAATACAATCCTAAAGCCTGGACAGAATGTATGCAATCACTATTTGAAGATTCTGAAAAATAATTAGTAGCAAAAAGATCAGAGAAGACACTGAACTGTTGGTGAGTCTAACTTTATTTTTGTCCACTATTCTATAAGCTGAACTAAAGATAGCCCCAAATCTGGAAGCGGGCATCAGCACAGGCTGTGAAAGCTCAAGGAGAAGCCTGACTGAGACATAGGAAAGAGACAGTGGAGTGGAGAAAAGCCCCTTTTCCCCTTTGTTTTTCTCATTCTCTTTTGCTCCAGCCCCTAAGGAATCCTGTGACAGTGGTGTTATCTGGGTCCCTAAGAGCCTAAGACTGCCTTAGACTCAGATCCCCTGCTGTATGGCTGTATATACGGATGCAGTCATGAGAAAACTGTATCAGGGCAGAGCATATATAGGGGAGTCCCAATGAACCAGAAAAGACAAAGGAGATTGTGTAGATAAAGGAGCTCAAGAAAGCCACCATATACATTTGTTTGTGAATTCTTAGGCTTACTCCCAAGCTTTGTGTGCATGGTTCTGACCCAAGAAAACACCTACATGGGTTTTGAAGATGGAACCATGGGATAGATCACTGCCCAAGTCCCCAACTGGACACTAGTTGGCACACAAGCAGGGCAGATCCAAAGAAAACTGCAAACTCTTTGAACCTGGGCCTGACTGTGGATGACAACTCACAGATCACTGGTAAGAATTTGAAGACTGAAAGCAACTGGGTCAATTACACACACACACACACACACACACACACACACACACAGGAATATCCTCCTTAGAATGCATAAAAGACTCATAAATAAAAACTGCAGCACTTAAAACATGATATTACAATCTAATTACTCAGCATATAATACAAAGAACCAAGAAAACCTCAACTCATATGAGAAAAGACAATCAACAGACATCAATGCCAAGATTGCACAGATACAAATGCTGAAATTAGTAACAAATGCTCTTGAAGTGAATAGAGAGTAAGTTTTAGAAAGAAATAGGAGATATAAAAATAGAATTTTGGAGCTGGAAAATATAACACAGAAACTTAGAAAAATACAACTTTCTGAAGTGGTTTAATAAAATAGAAATAAAAGAAGAATGAATCCATAAACTTGAAGACAAATTTTAAAAAGTAACCAATCTAAACAACACAAAAAACAAAAGACTGGGAAAAAACTGACAGTCTCAGGGACTTGTTGTAAGATAAAAAAGACTTAATATTGGTGTCATCAAATACCCAGAAAAGTAGGAGAAAGATGAAGTACAGAAAAAATAATTAGGACTGAGATGACTTCCTCAATTTGGTTAAAGATAAATTTAGAGTCAAGAATTTTAGTAAGTATAGGTAAGATAAACCCCACTCCAGACACACCAAAATAAAACTATCAAAAACTAAAAGCAGATGGCATAATTGTCTATGTAGAAAACCCCAAGGAATCTACTAAGAAAACAAAACCCAAAAAGCTCCTAGAACTGACAAGCGAGTTTATCAAGGTTTCAAGATATATGCTCAACATACAAAAATTGTGTTTCTAGCCGAAACCAGTTTGGCTCAGTGGATAGAGCATCAGCCTGCGGACTGAAAGGTCTGGCTTCGATTCTGGTCAAGGGCATGTACCTTGGTTGTGGGCACATCCCCAGTAGGGAGTGTGCAAGAGGCAGCTGATCGATGATTCTCTCTCATCAATGTTTCTACCTGTCTATCCCTCTCTTCTTCTCTGTAAAAAAATCAATAAAATATATTTTTTAAAAATTGTGCTTCTACATAAAAGCAACAAACATGTAAAAAGTGAAAAAGTTCTGGAGCACTTACAATTGCTCCAAGAAAGTAAACCCTTAGGTATAAACTTGACAAAATATGTAAAGAATCTGAGTGCTGAATATTAAAAATGCTGTTGAAAGCAATCAAAGATCTAAATAAAGGATGAAACATACTGTTCATAGATTTAAAGATGCAACATATTAAAGATGTCAATTCACCCCAAAATGATTTCTAGGTCTCATGTAACTCCTATCAAAATCCAAGCAGAGTTTCTTTGTAGACATAAAAATATCGTATTCTAACATTTATATTATACAAGAAGGCACAGAATAGCCAAATCAACCTTGACCAAGAAGAATAAAGTGGGAAGAAACTCTTTACTTGATATCAGTACTCACTATACAATTACAGAATCCAGGATGCTATTGGTGGAGAGATGGGCACACAGATTAATGCAACAGAACAGAAGACCCAGAAACAGACCCACCAATATGCTCAACTGACTTTTTTTTGACAAAGATATAAAGGCAACTCAGTGAAAGAAGTATAGCCTTTTCAACACATTGTGCTGAAGTAATTAGACATGAAAGATCCTAGTGGTGACAGAAACGTACATTTTCTTCATTGTATTCATAGACACATGAACTTACAGATGTGTGAAACTGTACAGAAACACACACACACACACACACACACACACACAGAGAGAGAGAGAGAGAGAGAGAGAGAGAGAGAGAGACACACTGGCAGTAAAACTGGGAATATCTGAATAAAAAAAATCATTAGATATATCAACCTAAGATACAATGTAATTTAAAATCTTTAGGCAAAATTTAATATTTCTCAGAGGTATCATCTTAACCCTTTCTTTTTTTGTAAAATAGATAAACTGAATATAATCACATACATAGCAAATTAGGAACCAACACTAGGAACCAACACTAGGAACCAACACTAGGGAGGTCAATTAGAATAGTAGAGAGCACAGCTAAATTTCATTGCTTTCTAAAATTACGGGCTAAGTTTTTAAGACTGAAGAGCTCCACCCTGTGATTACACAGAGCCTTCTATAAAACAGAGAGGTGTACTTCTCACAGAGTGTGCTGCCTGCAATAAGCGTCACTCAGCATGTAGAAGATGCTATCCAGCACAGGGGGCTAAGCACATCAGGGAGGGCTGTCTCATTGAGGATTACAAATAGATAATTTACTGGAACTCCTAAATGCTACTTCCCTGTGGCTATAAATAGAAGTATTTCATTTGGACTTCTTTCCCATGAAGGCTGCCAAGTTGTGTTATTAAGGGATTCAATACCTACATGAATTTCATTTCTAAATAAATATAGAAACAAGCACTTGGAAATTACAAAATTAATTCCCATAAAAGTAACCACCAGAAAGAACATCAATTTATGATTAAAAATAGCAGAACTTTTACCTTTCTTGCAGAGACTTTACCAAAACGACCTCAGAAAGCAGAGATTAACTGCGTGGATCCAAAACAATTAGGATATTATTTATTTCCATAAGAGATGAGTAGGTAGGTAATTAAATAGATTTGTCTGGCCCAAAATTGTATACTGATATTTTCAAAGTTTAAATCTTTTTTATTTTTATATCATCAACTAGTTGAATATATAAACTATAGAACAAGGCTGGGGGAAGAAATAAGTCATGAATCCAACCCACTTGGGGTTTCAATTTAGGTGGGAAGATTTTGGTAGGTGAAAAATAATCATAATACCAAGTAGCATTCAATGAATTCTATTTGAGTGGAAAAAAGAAGAAATTCAAGGAGTTCAATGTCCATTGGTTGTTCTATTTCCATCCAGTCTATTCCAACAGAATGAGAAGGGAGTATTGTATCAAGTGAAGATATGGTTTATTCAGATTAGGAGGAGCCTATCTAATAAAGAGGGAATATGTTAATTGATCATCACACTCTCACAAGAAGGCATTGACCACAGCCACAAGATGGTGGCATCCAGTTTCCTCAATCCTGTCTCATCCAGCATCAATCTCCCAGTACCCACAGGTCCACCTAATCCAGCCTCAGTCCCCCAGTCCCTCGGCACCGCCTCATCCAGCCAGAATCCACCAGTCTCCTCAGCTTTGCAAGGGAAGGCAGTTGAGGGCTATTGGGCCAGCAGGAGAGGGCAGTTGGGGATGATCATGCCAGCAGGGGAGCAGTTAGGCATCCATCACACCAGCAGGGGAATGGTTAGAGGGCAATCAGGCTGGTGGGCAGAGTGGTTAGGGGCAATTAGGCAGGCAGGCAGGTAGGAGTGGTTAGGAGCCAGCAGTCCTGGATTGTGAGAGGGATGTCCAACTGCCAGTTTAGGCCCTATTCAAGGATCAGACCTAAGCCAGCAGTCAGCCATCCCCTGAGGGAATCCTTGGTTGGAGAAGGTGCAGGCTGGGCTGAGGGACACCTCCTCCCATGCATGAATTTCATGCGCCAGGCCTCTAGTATATATGTACACTAAGAGAGAAATATGCAAATTGACCATACCTCCGCAATACCCCCTGCCAATCAGAAGTGAGTATGCAAATCAACTCAACAAAGATGGTGGGTTAATTTGCATACACAGGGGGAAAGTGGCTGGATGGGGCAGAATGCCTGCTATGAAGGGGAAGGAGAAGGCGAAGGGAACTATAGGAGCAGTGCTCTGACCAGGAGTGAAGACTTGCAAAGGCTTCTGGGCAGTGGCCGGGAGCAAGACTTACAAAGGCTCCCAGGCAGGTCAGAGCAAAGCCAGGAGAAGGAAGGCCTATTCTTGCATGAATCTTCATGCAATGGGCCTCTAGTATATACATATATATTCATATATACACGTACACATATGCAGCGGACCTCTAGTATATACACAAAAACTAGAGGCCCAGTTCATACACTGAAGCAGGGGATCCCTCAGCCTGGCCTGACTCCTCTCATAGTCCTGGAGCTCTCAGGGGCAGGAGGCGACCTGGCAATCAGAGGGAGGCAATGCCCCCAATCACACCTCCACTGCTGCCACTGATGGCAGAACAAGCCTTGACTGGCCCTGGTTACCTGAGCCTTGGGTGGTCCTGGGCGGCTGGGCAGCTGCCATCCGAGGCTTGCCTGCGCCCTGGTGTCGGTTGAGCAGCTGGGGGACTGAAGGGACTGGGGGACTCCGGAGGCAGGCTCACAGAGTGGCTAACCCTGCCTGGGGCCGGGCCTGGCTGTGCTGCATGCCTGCTGCCCCGGCAGGGTTGAGGGGAGTGGGCGTCATCATCTTGTGGCTATGGGTGCTGCCATCTTTGAGGATGTGGAAGTCCCTTAGCATATTTCTCCTTACTGACTGTGAGCACTGCCATCTTTGTGAGGGTGTGTAGTCAATTAGCATGTTCTGCCTTTATTAGATAGGAGATATACTGTGCATATATATAGTGTGTGTGTGTGTATGTGTGTGTGGTTTATTTTGTTTGTTGTCTGTCTCCCCACTAGGATTTAAGTTCTATGAGGATGAATTTTTTTGTTCATTGCTATTTTCCCTACACTGGAACAATTCCTGGAACCTAGTGTATGGTCAGTTAATTTACTTTTTCTGTTTTACTGATGAGGGAACTCAGGCAAGGATGCCGACTAAGCACTGTGCTAAATAGTGGGATGAAGACAGAAATTATTCAATCAGAACATGTTCTTGTCCTCAAGGAACTCTCAGTCCAGTAGAGGAGAAGCAGAGAGGCCCCGTGAGGAGGAAAAGGGAAGTGAAGGGCAAAATTGTCAGGGCTGGACCGATGGCGGCAGGTTAGAAGCAGAGATCAGAATAATGAGCAACAGAGACTGACAATGCAAAACAAGGTCAGAAAGAGAAAGTAAACAGCTCTGCGATCTGGGGAACCTAAACCTTAGGGATCTTAGGGGACAGTCCCAGTTTAGAAAGTAGCTGGTCCAGATTAGAGCTGAATACACTTCAATTCCACAGTGGTTTTGAAGGCTTAAGTTCTCAAAATTAAAGGGCTATGGAGTGTGGCAGGAGGTGCCGGTGGGTTTTGAAGAGTCCAGGAGAGTGCTCACAGAGAAATAATATATTTAAAAATATGTAAACAAGTAGGAAGTATGTTTAAAGTATGGCAGGCCTGAAAAACACAAAACCACATTCTACGTGTTTCAGCCAAAGAAGAAGTTGGTCTGGTTTCCCTAGTCTCCCCATCGGAGCTCCCTGCAGGGTCAGAGACCTCAGTGAGCAGCGGGGTGTGGCGGGCTGGGTCGGGGTGCACACAGCAGAGAGAGAGAGAGAGAGAGAGAGAGAGAGAGAGAGAGAGAGAGAGAGAGAGAGAGAGAGAGGACTCCCTCCAGCCATGTGCTGCCACTTGCAGAGACAGCCGCTGGAACAGGACAGAAAAGTGTTTGTTTTTTCCCCCCCAGGTGATTACTACTCTGGGTTGGGCTTTTAAATGACTGACTAGAAACTGCTTCTGTTGTCATTTTTGAATCAAAGTGACTGTAGGACTTACTAATGATCAGAGTGACCTGAGTTCTCACCCAGAGGCAGGAGAAGAAATCCCTCTGGGTAAATTTGAGAGACAGTGAGAGACAAAAGTAAAGTTAATTTTAATTACATTTCATGAGTCCTGTTTAGTACAACATACTGATGCCACAAGAAGAGCTTCCTATTTAAAAGCCAACCCTCCCTTTCACCAACTTTCTTTGGGGATAATGAAAACTTGACCTGATTACACTAGGAGAAGAGTAAGTACCACATTTCTCACCTTGATGCTTTTTCTTTAGTGGCACTTTTGCTAGCAGCAGTATTTCGTCCAGAAGCAGGTTCTGATTTATCTTCTATGGGAGATCCAAATCCAGCACTAAAATAATAAGTATTTTTGCTTGTCATATGTAAAAAACCACAACCAATTACAACCATATGAAAAATACATGACATTTGAAGGCATTTAATAATTTATAAGGTATTTTCACTTCTCTTATATGATTTAATTCCTTTCACAATTACAAAGCGGGCACCAGGCTTTCATTTACAGATGAAGAAACTAAGCTTGCTCACAGACTCTAACTCATGGGCTCAAGACCTCACTGTGGGTTCACAGCAGACAGAATGTCAAACCAGGTTTCCTGTCTCCTTTTCCAGAGATCTTTTCCATAGCTATTCAAAAAACAACAACTATGAAGTTATATTACTCTAAGAAGAATCAAAGAATGGTTTCCAAAATCTAATTTTTTTTACTCCCAAATTAAGAGGAGTTATTTGAGCATAGATAAAAGATCATTTTCTTACCTGGCCTTTTCTCTACTAGGTCTTCTTAAAGAAGAGGAAGAAGAAATACTTCGCCCATAACCAACTTCTGAGGATTTATCTTCCGTAGATGGAGGTGAACTACAATTTTACATATTTGAAATTATGGATGAATTAAAATAATTTACTCATCAATATTGGCTTTGTCCTACAAAACAGATTTCTTCCCAGGAAATCATATTTGGAGTTGACTCTTAACAGTAACATCAATTTAAAAGCATAGAGGAGAGGTTGAAAAAGACAAGAAATATTATAAAGCTTTCTATGAATTATTATAGAATAAAACATATGTTTATAAAGTGTGTCCCATACAGTGTGTTATAGAGATACATGTGACCATTTAAAAAGGTGTTGGACACCAGCATACAGTTCCGGATAGTTGCTTGGTTTGCTCCTATCTGGTTATACATTCTTCAATTATTATACTTCATGTCACCAGGAAAGCAAGAGACCCTGGCTGCTGAAATACATGTGGGGTTGGCTGGTAACACGGAGTCAGAGGGAAAACCATAGTGCTCTTCCTGACTTTACTATGTCAGGCTATGAATTTATAGATCGGTGTTCATTTCCATGGTGCCTGATACACAAGGGAAAGGAAAGATACCATACTGGGGATCTTTACACAGTCACAGGAGGATGGACAAGCAAAAGTATGCGTGCTTCCCTGTATCCCTCTTTCCCCCAAAGACTCACACATCAGATTTATTGTTAACCAAGAGTACAGTACGTAGGTCATTTGGTTCTTGTAAGCAGAGATCCTTCAAAGGCCAAAATTTGGTGCCAGGATTTATCTGTGGATAATGTAAAGATTGTAAAGTAATATCAGCATGGGTTATATTTTTTTAATATGACTGCTGTTACAACATGTTCTCGACAGTTTAAAGTGTGTGATTTTACACACACACACACACACACACACACACACACACATACACACACTCTTAGAAATAGGAACTTGGGGTTGTGGACATCTTGCCTTTGAGCAGGATATGTCTCTCCAGTTCCCCACAATCTCTGTTGCTTTCTTCTCAGCTCTTTCACACCATAATGATCAATTTGGCCCCTGAAAGTATCTGAGTTTGAAAATCCATCTATATACATAAGGGAGAACTTATTGTCTGAAAGAGTAACTAGTTACCAAACAGATTATAAAAAAAAGTTTGTGAGACTATCTGAAAATAGGTTAGACAAAGCTCTACACTTAGCAATTTTATGAGCCTGGTGAAGAAGAGTAGAACAGATCACCTTCTGAAGTCATTTCCAACTATATAATAGTTAGATTCCTCTCTCATCCAAGAAGCTTTTCATGGTCCTTTTAAAATAAGACAGATCATTTCATTCTTCTGCCAAAGTTTCATAGGTCCTTCAGAGTAAGGCCAAAACCCTTCTAATGGTTTACAGGACTGACATGACCTGGCCTCTCTTCATCTCTGATCTGCTCTCCATTCTTCCGCCCCTTAGTTCCCTCAGCTCTAACTGCAATGACTTTGCTATTTCTTAAATATGCCAAGTGTGTTTGCACCCAATGGCTTCCGCACCAGTTTCCTCTGCCTAGAAAGCTCTTCCCCCAGGTATGCCCGTGGCTAAGACCTGCACCTTCAACTTTTTGCTCAGGAATTACCTCTTAGTGAGGCCTCTCTGACCACAATTTTATTTTATTTTTAAAAAATTATATTTTATTGATTTTTTACATAGAGGAAGGAAGAGAGACAGAGAGCTAGAAACGTCAATGAGAGAGTAACATCGACCAGCTGCCTCTTGCACACCCCCTACCGGGGATGTGCCCGCAACCAAGGTACATGCCCTTGACCGGAATCGAACCTGGGACCTTTCAGTCCGCACACTGATGCTCTACCACTGAGCCAAACTGGTTTCGGCCCTGACCACAATTTTAAAAATTACAACCATCAACCCCAGTCTGCCCCGGCACTACAGAGCCCCCTTATCCTGCCTCTGCTCTACTTACCTCTCCCCCGTAGCTCTTATTTTAATTATGTGATGTAGTTTATGTAGTTGTTTATTGTCTGCCTCTTCCCACTGGTGCCACGGGAGTAGAGATTCTTGACTCTTTTTATTCACTGACATATTCAGAGCCTATAATACTAGAAATTTAACATTTTTTTGGATGAATCAGAGAATTCTTTTTTATAAAGGATATTGTCTCCTTAACTTTTAAAAAAGTATATTTTATTGATTTTTTTACAGAGAGGAAGAGAGAAGGATAGAGAGCTAGAAACATCGATGAGAGAGAATCATCGATCAGCTGCCTCTTGCACACCCCCTACTGGGGATGTGCCTGCAACCAAGGTACATGCCCTTGACCGGAATCGAACCTGGGACCCTTCAGTCCATAGGACGACGCTCTATCCACTGAGCAATATCAGTTTCAGCCTGTCTCCTTAAACCTGTTAACCGAGCGGGACGTATAAATACGTCAAACTTAAACAATATCGGGTATTCATTGTAGGACATAAGAATACGTCCTTGAAATATATGTTGTGCCCTGAAATGGGCGGGACGTATATTTCCGAACAACAAAGGTATTAGTCATCCATACATGTCTCCACATGAATTTAAGACACAGAGGGAATCAGTATAATTTCGCTATTGAGAGTGGTGGACGTGTTCTGGGTGAGCAGTGATGGCTATGTACTTACACTTACCTACCTATTTTCGTATTATATATTATTTACTTATATTTTTTATATCTCCAACCTTTATATAATAAAAAAACATATAAAATTGATCCAATCATCAATTAATTTGTCAGAAAAGTTGAAAAGTTTTTATGTATGTGAAGGAGAAATATGCGTAGATGAATCTCTTTTATTATGGAAAGGGAATTTATCTTGAAAACAATATATATCTACAAAAAGAGCTAGATTTGGAATGAAGTTGTTTATTTTGAGTGAAAGCCAATCTGGCTACGTACAAAATATAGTTTTATACACAAGCAAGGACACAAATTATGGTTCGAACTATCCACAAGAAAAACAATCAACAAGAATTGTTTTGGAGTTAACACAAGACTTACTGAATAAAGGGTATAGGACTTACTTAGATAATTTCTATATGTCAATTCATTTGGCTGAACTCTTGTGTCAAAACAATACAGACATTGTTGGAACCATGAGGATAAACAGAGTTGGAATCCCCAGTGAAATAAAAACAAAAAAATTACAGAAAAATGAACATATGTAAGAATCAAAGACAAACTTACGGTTTTAAAATGGAAGGATAAAAAAGACTTATTGATGCTCAGTTCTATTCATAATGACGAAAAGACAATGATTGAAAAGAGAGGAAGAAGGCAAGAAAAACCGAATGTTGTCCTGGATTATAGCAAAAATATGGGCGGCGTAGATTTGGGAGATGGAGTTATGGTGGCCTATACAGCTGCCCGTAATAGGGTAAAAAAATTTTATAAAAAATTTTTTCTACGATTACTAATTGATATGTGCTGCTTCAATGCATATATTATATACAAAAAAGATAAAGGTCATTTGGATCAATTACACTTTTTGATAGAGTATGTAGAGAAATTGGTAGATAACAACATAGTGAAAACCCACCCAAAGACATCAACAAGCAGCTCTACATCTAAACCATCACGCTTAGTTGAAAGGCATTTTCCAGAACAAATGAAAAGCGATATAGGAAAAACTAAATCCAGGAAATGCCGAGTTTGCTACAAAAAAGGTGTTAGGAAAGAATCTACATATTGGTGTCCGGATTGCAAGGTAGCACTATGTATCAACAATTGTTTTAAAATATATTACATGGAAATTATATTTTGAATTTTTACATCTATATTTCAATTTTTAAACTCAATATTTCTACTTTATTTGTGTGCTTTTGTTTATTGTTCTGTAATTGTTAACTTATTTTTATTGTGTATAGAAATAAAAAATATATATTTTTTGTAATCTTTATAATTGTTTATAAAATTTAAAATGTTTTAACTCAATGTTTCCATTTTTTGTAGGTATTCTTTTCTATTTGTTTGTAACTTTGTATTTTCCTTTGTGCTTTATATATAAATAAATGAAAAATATATATTTCATTTATTTTAATTAAGTATAAATAAAAAAATAATAATATAAAATTATGTCCACTGGGCGTGACATACTGACACGTCCTAGTGAAAAAGTATGCGCCCGTTGTACGTTGCGTAATTAAAAAGGGAACTCCCCGGTTCACAGGTTAACTTTTAAAAAAACTCATGAACAAGATAAAATTTTTCTTCATTTTCTGATCCAAGGCAATGGTTTTCTATTATGTTCATTGTTGGTTTTTCTGCTCTTCTCCCTCATTTTTCTTAAAGCATCTTTATACTACTATTGTGCCAATTAAAAAAAGAGTAATCAATGAGATGAGCTTCCTCAGAGCCATAAGGAGCTTCCTCAGAGCCACTGCTCAGCAGTTTGTACGTGCATTGTAGGGGTTTGTTCCATGTTATGGTGGTGATGGTGGCCAGGGGAAGCAGAAGCAAGAGCTAGAGTAAAATTTTAGTATAGCTATTTTTCCTTATTCAAAATACCTCTAATTCTGTTACCATAATAGAGTGTTTCCTGAAAATGTGGCTTAGCTATGGAGTTCTTATTATGGCCCTGTCTCCTCTGCTTCTTTGGACCAATTTGGTCCAAGAGGACTTCTGCTGCCAGCCTTGCCCACCCCAGCTCCAGGTCCCGAACTCACCTGGAACAGAGTTTTCCATTTGTACTTCTGAGTTCTACCATCACCTCAGGAAACACACACACACACACACACACACACACACACACACACGCACACACACACACACACACACTCTAGAGGCCTGGTGTAAAAAATGTGTGCACGGGGCGGCGGGGGTTACTTCAGGCCAGCATGCACCCTCTCCAATCTGGGACCCCTCAAGGGATTTCCGACTGCCCATTTAGGCCCAATTGGGCAGTCCGACATCCCTCTCACAATTCGGGACTGCTGGCTCTCAACTGCTCGCCTGCCTGCCAGCCTGATCACCCCCTAACCACTCCCTTGCCAGCCTGATTGATGTCTAACTGCTCCCCTGCCAGCCAGATTGCCCCTAACTGCCCTCCCCTGCATACCTGTTCGCCCCCAACTGCCCTCCCTTGCAGGCCTGGTCCCTCCCAACCTCCCTCTCCTGCTGGACATCTTGTGGTGGCCATCTTGTGTCCACATGGAGGCAGCCATGTCTGACCACATGGAGGCAGCCATCTTGTGTGTTGGAGTGATGGTCAATCTGCATATTAATCTCTTATTAGACAGGATATTAGAAATGTATATATAATATATATGTAAATATATAGATATTGATTTCAGAGAGGAAGAGAGAGAAACATCAATGATGAGAAATAGTCATCTGTATACCCCCACACTGGGGATTGAGCCTATAACCCAGGTATGTGCCCTAACCAAGAATTGTACCGTAACCTCCTGGTTCATAGGTTGACACTCAACGACAAGGCTACAGAGATGGACAGGAAGTATATATTTTTATGGTATTTTCTGAGATTTGCCACCACCAGCTCTCTTGTACTTTCTGTTTCCTTTTAATCTTTCCTTTTGAACAGCTTCTGCCTGATTTCAGGGATTTTTAGTAACTTTTAAATTTGTTTGAAGTCTGAGGATCATATATGTTTCTTAGTTTTGCCTAAAATGGAATCTGTGGATTTTAAAATGTTCTTAATTTTTCTTATTGCTTTTACTTTTGGTTTCCAGAAGAAGCAGAAAACACTGGCTTAATGCCCCAAAGCAAAAAAAGTCCTCAAGATTCTAATTTTTAGCTTCCCGTTTCTGCCAACATTAACACTGAATGGCAGTGTAAGTTGTTTTAAAAATCATAATCAGAAATGCAGGTAAGTGAAACATTCTTTTTCTATATTACATTTTAAAATCCAGTATTACAATTGATTAATTTCAATTATACGAGGATAAAATTAAAAACTTATACTTATGTCCTTATCACTAACATTGAGCCCTGGAAATAACAGAACCCCAAACTGAAAATGCTAGTTCTTTCATATCTCCTCTGAAACTTGAACCAACTTGGCAAGCTGATTTAAGTAAAAGTAATCAGATTCTAGTTAAAAGTATATGTAAAGGCAAAATCTTGTAGCCAGACAAAGTTAAGGATGAAGTTCTGATTACCAAGTGACAGTCTGTAAAAATAAAAAAAATGTTAGGTGATTATGAAATTACTATGTAATGGCATCATGATTAAGGAAGAAATTCTTATCATACATAAATACTAAAATATAAGTCAGTGCTCTCACTTACCCGGCCATAATCATAGAAGCCATCACTAATGATGTTAGTTGATGACAAATAGCCAGTCTGGCTGTATTTCAGAGACAGGTGGTTGTTGAGCAATTTGTTATAAGCTACCTCACTGAATTTATTTTTTCGACTTACTGATAGATTAATTTCTTCAAGGATATTTAAAGCCCTGTCAATAAAAGCAAAAGGCATTATTTGCTTTATATAAGCCACCCAAGATTAAGTTCTCACTTACCGACCTAGCCAAGATCCTGAATGCAATGGAAAGATTATAGCCATCCCACCCTTTTAGATAAAGTAATACTGTCATTATGGAGATAAATCAGTCTTTCTGAAAACATATATACCTTGTAGTTACTCATATTCAAAAAGTTGAAAAGGACACTTTCAGAAAGAAAAAAAAAAACATTCTTCATTTAAAGCAAAATTAGTATTTGACTCCAACTTTTGCAACTAAGCAGGCAATATATACAGAGAATAAAAATGTTTGGGAAATAGGATAATCCTGTCTGTGAAATCTAACAACCCTACTGATATGCTAAACACCCTATCTGTCACGGGTAAGGAACTGGGTCTGGGGAGGCTGGCCAAATGTTGGGTTCTGATGGAAAGATTCAGATCTGGGAAGGAGCAAAATGGAATGGTCATCAGGGCTCACCCATTTTATTTTAGAAAATTGAGGGACTGATAGGGTTGTGTTACAATAGTTGAGGGAAATGAAAAAAGCATTTCTCAAGATGAAAAAGTGGAAAAGGAAATGTTGGACATGATTTTATAAAGGTGGGGAGGAGGAAAGGACCTTCTTTACACCAGGCAGTCCCTCTCTTGCTGTGACCTGCAGCACCCTGAGTGTTCCCTAGACCAGAGAGGGGCTGTGTAGACTCTGCCTGACCTTCCTTTTGCCTGAAAAGTGTGCTCTTCATCTGAGCCAGAAACTTCAGACACCTCCACTCACCCGAGCTTGCATAATTCCCCGGCCATCAGCTCATCGCTGGCACAGACCATCACGGCCCAGCTGGCATTCCTTCTGACCTCATCGTTCTTGGAGCGCAGGAGCTCTATGAGGGGCTCCAACCCACCCGAATTTCTTAGCTAAAAGTGGACACCAACATTGTATGCATTAAAAGTCCAGAATATAAGCATTATGCTTTTCAAAAAAAAAAATTAATCTCATTATTAGGTTGTTTAAAGATTGCAACTATGTAAAAACATTTTAAGATATTAAATGTACTAAATGTAGGGGGCAAAATCAATCACATACCCTTACAAACAAAACCTCAATTTTCTGTTCAAAGTCAAGAAGAAGCCACAGTAAAGTAATCAAGGGAGGTCACGGTGATTTTGCACAGCGTGGGGGCTGGGGAAGGTGCCATCTTCTCACTCTCACAAGTGGGATGCCCTGTGGGCTCCTCAATACTGAATGTCCATCTGGCCCCAAGGTAGACCAAGAAGTCCTTGTTTTTAGAAGGGGTTTTGCAAATGTGGTAAGTTAACGACGATGTCCTGTATTATTAGATAGGGCCAATGTAATCATAAGAGTCCTTAAAAGTGGGGAACAAGAGTGGCAGGCACAGAGAAAGGGGACAAGTGGAACCAGAAGTTAGAGTGATGGAGGAAGGGGCCGTGGCTAAGGGAATGAGTTTTCCTCTGAAGTCTCCAGAAGGAGCCCAGCTCTGCCAACACTTGATTTTAGCCTATTTTCAGATTTCTAACCTCCCAAACTGTAAGGCAGTGGGTTTGTATTGCTTTAAAGCCACTACGTCGTGGTGATCTGTTATGGCAGGAAAAGGAAACTAATATAGTCCCCAAGGCTGGACAGGAGGAACTGCTGGAGGCAGGAGCCACCTGTGTCTGCGGACACTGTACTGAGCTGGCAGAGTGGCCAAAGCAATACTGAGCAATTCCCTAGGAAGAGACCAGTTTCTGCTGTCCTTACACACTGTCTTTTCTTCATTTCTCTAAAAAGCCAAAAAGAGAAGAAAATAATAAGATAACTCGACAGAACTATATTACATTATTAAAATAAATTGCTTACATATAAAGTTATTCCAACCAGAAAAAGAGATTTGTGTAGGAAGCAGCTATAGGGTCAAGCCTTGGACTGACCTGTATCAGTGCCACAAACAAGTCCCAGCTTGGAGGGCAGAGCCCTCTCAGCATAATTAAGCTTCACCTAATAGTCCTCCCTATTCCCTCCTAGGTAGCTAATGGGCTGTGAGCCGGTGCAGCAAGTGCCGACAAAACAAGGTGAAACTCGCAAGAACATTGTAAACATGTTGACCGCTATCCTTGTTTTGCTTTGTGTGCTCTGACTATAAAATAAAGACTGCGTTTGCAGGCCATAGAACTGTCTCTACACCAGAGAAGCAGTGTCCCACGGAGCCCCAGCTGTATTCTCTAGTCTGTCTTCTTTAATCCTTCACCCTGCCCTCCTCAGGTTCACCAAACCTGCCCATGCTGGGCGCGGCACAGATTTGACAAAGCTCATCTCACTGTCTTAAATGCAATACTCTATATCTGAGCCCAGAACACAAAAATAACACCCTGCCCGCCTGTATAAGTGGTGCCGAAGGACAAGAGTCCCAGAGGAGCAGCATCTACTTTCAGTCATTTCCTTCTCAAACGAAGGGGCTCCAGCAGAGACTACATGGCAGAATATGTGATGTGGGAAGCTTAGAAGAATATCCTGAAGCATCTGTGTAGCAGGCCAAATTTCTGAACACTTTTACTTCTGAGTATAACACAAGATATGTAGTAATCTAAGTCCAGGTGTTCTTTTGTCAAAGACGTAATTATTTATTCACCCCTCCACTCACTCCTCCAGTCCTCCATATATTCCTTCATTTTATTTAGTCAACTCACAGGTGTGTGTGAACGACATGGGCACGAGGAAGAAAGGCCTCAGTTCCCTTCCCTAAAGAAGCTTATTTCACCTTTCATAAGAGGTCCACAGAGTATAAAACGGAGGACCAGGGAGGCCTGCGTAGGGTGTAAGTGGGACCACCTACGTTTGAGGACTGAAGGAAGAACTCATAAAAGAAGATGGGTGAGCTGGGGTTTAAAGGAGAAAACTAAAGTTTTATCAGGATGACAAAAGGGAAGTTAGCTTGCCAAGCAGAGGAAACCAGAAGGTATAAATGAGAGAACAGGGTACACAGAGAATTACAAATAGCACAGAGCTCCACTTAGGAAGAGACTTCAGGCAGGCACGCCTCACAGAGGGCCCTGGCATATCACTCTAAGCAGCTCAACTTTTACCACAGGCAGCTGCACACCACCGGGGACTTGCAATGATGTGAGGAGGCTCATATATTTGGAAGGTCAGCCTGGAGGAAATCTGGGCAGGAGGAGGTGACAGAGCCAGGGACCCCATTAAAGAGCAAGCTGCAATATTCCAGGAAGTAGATGGACTACTCTGCAAGGCATGACCAAGATACTTCTGTGTATCACTGTATCCCCCATCCCTAGCATAGTTCCTGGCACATGGTAGACGGTAAGTAAATACTTGGTGACTACCTTACTACTTTACTGGATGAAAACAGATGAACTGAGTTAATGGGCACAAAGAAGGGAGATAGAACAGAAATGTAAGGGACACGTGAGGAAAGACTTGATAGCTGTCTGGGCAGATGGCCCAGTGTGAGAGGATGGGCTCTGACATTGATCTAGCACATAGCACGTCGGCTTGGAGCACAGTGTTTATTTAAGCCTCGCTGTTCCATCTGTAAAATAGGAATTACAAACATACCTATTCCAAGTGGGGCTTAAATGAATGCAACGTGCTTGGCACATATTAAGTGCTCAATAAATGACAGCTACTGTCCCTTTCACTGAAGAGAGAGGAACAAAGTGCTAGGCTGTTTGAATGAGTGCTGGGCTGACAAATGAATATGAGAAAAGCAAGAAGTAAATGGAGGCTTGTAGGATTATATGAAATCTTTACGAAGCCTTAATAGAGTCAATCACAAGGACCAAACACACTTTTAGGTGATGGACTTGCAGAAAATGCAATACTATGTTTTAAATTTTTGCAATATGAGAAACAAGAGAGTATGTATAACTCATATGTGTAATTTTAAGAATCACAGTGAAAAGCATATCTGTTCGTCTACCACCAGCTTAAGAAATGGCACATTTCAATATCCTTGAACCCCTGGGCGCTCCTCTGAATCACATCCACACCCTTAATCCCCCAAGGGGAAACCACTCTTTCGAGAGTGGGGTTGATCATTGATCATTCTCTGTCTTTTCTTTATATCTCTAACTGCTAGGTACGTATGTATGTATGTATGTATGTATGTGTGCCTAAACAATTTCTTAGCTTCATTAGCACATTTCTTAGCACATTTCTGAATGGTATATAAACAGAATCATAAGATACATTCTTCACAACTAGCCTTTGCTTAGCATTAAGCTTGTTGAAATTCATCTGTGCTGTTGTCTGTAGCAACAGTTCATTCATTTTTACTGCTGTGAGATCCCATTTTATGAATATGCCATAATTTATTCACCCACTCTCTTAACAGTGGGACAACTGGTTTGTTTCCAGTTATTTAGATATTATAAGCAATGCTTCTTGTAGCTTAGAGATAAGGGATTGTCTTAGGGATATAGACTTAGAAACAGAACTGCCGGTCTACAAGGCCTGCACACATTCTTTGTTAGATAATCCCCATTTGTTTTCCAAAGCGTTGCATCAATTTGGAAAAACTTAAATGATGGATCAGTTCAAACATTTGAAAATGTTTCACATTAATCCACCCATAAGTAATGACCAGAAAAATGAGAGCAAATGTTATTAAAACACTCACCTCTGCCCGGGCCTCAACATCACACGCAGTCGCAGCGATGGTGAGAGCGGCTTTGCTCTGCACGACGATGTTCGAGGAATGCAGCGGGCCGATGAGGGCGTGCATGATGTCGCGGCTCTGGATGTTCGTGCGCAGAGCCTCCTGCGTTGCCATGTTGGTCAGCACAGTGGCGGCGTTGGCCACGGCTCCATCTCGTTTACTGGACAGGGTGTTTACTAATGGATCAATACCATCAGCTGCAGCAGCAGCACTGGGTAAATGAAGGCGAAATGAGTGTCATTCATCCAAGTTCAAGAATTTATTTTTGGAGTGTGTACAACCGAGCTTATAAAATAAATGAGTACCTAAACGCAGTTTTAGAAAGAAATTAATTTACAATGCAATGAGCCCAGAATTGAGGCTCTAGTCACTTCAATGAAGTCTGAGGAAATGTCAGATATGAATGAATTTAAATAATTCTTTTCCTATATCTACTGCATTGGTTATAGAAAAATGTATGACTACTTCTTAGAAAATCTGCTGCTGTTCATTTTTTAAAAAATCAGTGATACATATAAGATCAGACAATTCTATTCAAATAAAGTCTCTTGAAATATTCCCAACCAGCAAAAAAATAAAGCTTTAGATATGATGAATCAGTGAGCATGGGAACTCTGATTCTGTTAAAATACTTTAGCCCATCTTTCCCCTTTTCAGATTAGCTTGCTAATTATAACAGAAGTTAACACAATTGAAGGCAGTGACCATTTTGCATGTAAATATTGGTTTCATAAGTTAAACAACAAAACTCAAAGTCATGACATTGACATAAATAAATATATCCAATATAATTTCAAATATAGGCATATTCAGTTGCTAAATTTCTGATTTCTATCAATAGTATAAAAAGACTACATTATCCATTAACATATTAACATTATCTCACCGAAAGACTGTTTTTACGAACACCATGTTTTCTATAATCCTTGCTTCATATATAATTTAAAAGTTCATGAAATAGTAAAAATAAGGAGATAATTTTAATGAGTGGAAGACAATTTAATTATGTGTTATAATGTTTGAAATAGCTTCAAATAAGAGATGTTCCAAGCAATAAGATATATAGAGCATCCTGGTTTTAAAGGAATTCCCAGAATTGTGAGTTAAAATCCAAGTAAATAATCATGGGAATAGAGGTAATCAAAGCAAAATAAAAGCATACTTGAGACTTTAATAAAAAAAATCAACATCTCTTTTAAGTTTATATTGAAATATTTTTTCATTTAAAATTATGATAATTACCAACACTGAAAAAAAAATAACATGATCTCATTCATTTGTGGATTATAATGAGCAACATAAACCAATGAACAAAAATAGATCTAGAGACAGAGAAGCATTGATCAGAAGCTCAAATCTCAAAGTGAAAGCAGGGGAAGGCAGAACTGAAAGGGAGAGATCAACCAAAGGACTTGTATGCATGCATTATAAGTATAACCAATGGATATACTTATAACCAACGGGGGAGCAGGTGGAGCGCAGGAGTAGAGGGATGGGGGGCCAATGAGGCAATAAGGACACATTTTATAATACCTTAATCAACAAAGGGTGGGGGAAGAAAAAAAAATAAGTGAGGCTATATGATTTTAGCCCATCACCCTGTATGCTGATTAACTGATTTTAAATTGGCACTATCACTTAAATTTGCTGATTGTAAAGAATTGACAACTTCAACAATAAAAGTTGTCACAATTGTCCAGAAAACAAATTCTCGATAAGGAGACTGGTAGTTGTTGGGGAAAGGAGCTATGATTGTGGCACAAGCCAGCTCTGCAGAAGCCCGAACAGCAGAGACTGAGGACAGAAGTGACAAGAGGTGGCAGCTCTGGAGAGTAAGTATCGGTTGATGTTAACCTTGAAGGCGCCTCCCACTCTGGTTGATAAACACTGAGTGGCCAGATTATTATGATCTCAGTGTATAATAATGTGGCCATAATAATGTGGCCACTCAGTGTATATCCTATATAATAAAATGCTAATATGCAAATTGTCCCCTTGACCAGGAGTTTGATCAGCAGGCAGACTGGCCAAATCCTATCTGATAAAAGAGTAATATGCAAATTGACCATCACTCCCACACACAAGACAGTTGCCACTATGTGGTCAAAGATGGCTGTCACAAGAAGGCTGGCAGGGGACAGCAGTTGTGGGCAAACTGGATAACAGGAAAGGGCAATTAGGGGGGACCCAGGCCTGCAAGGGAGGAAGTTAGGGAGAATCCAAGCCTGCAGGAGAGGGTAGATGGGTGTGACCAGGCCTGCACCCGGGGGAGGGGGGCAATTGGAGGCAACCAGGCCTACAGGGGAGGGCAGTTGGGGGGACCAGGCCTGCAGGGGAGGGCAGTTGGGGGGACCAGGCCTTCAGGGGAGGGAAGTTGGGGTTGACCAGGCTGGTAAGGAAGGGCAATTAAGGGCAATCGGGCCAGCAGGGGAGCAGTTAGGCATTGATCAGGCATGGGAATGGTTAGGGGGTGGTCAGGCTGGCAGTCAGAAGTGGTTAGGGGCAATCAGGCAGGTAGGCAGGCAAATGGTTGGGAGCCAGTGATCCTGGATTGTAAGAGGGATGTCCCAGATTAGAGAGGGTGCAGTCTGGGCTGAGGGATAACCCCCTCCCCCACATACATGATTTTCGTGCTCAGGCCTCTAATATATATATTAAGTGGCCAGATTATTATGCATTCAGAGATCATAATAATCTGCACACTCGGTGTAAATCCCCCCAGAAAACACACCATATTGATACCAAGGCTAAGTCAGCACTTAGATCCATTTCTCCTACATTTGATATATATTTAACTCTTCCTGTGACATCTCAGAGAAGGCATCCCTGAAAACTAAAGTTCGGTTAGATGACATTTAACCCCAATTCATTGATATAAAGATATTGGGAGGAAGGTCCACAGCATCTCACTATGATGACCTGGTGGCTAGCATTTAATTTCCTTTCTTAGGGGATAAAATAATCACATTTAAGATGATTTCACTTTTAATTCTCTCTCATATTATTAATCGACTTGGCAGTTTTTTGATTTTATATATAAATAAGGGAAAATTTGGGAGCTCTTATATATTTGTTCATTGGACACATATTTAACTTATAGTTGAAACAATGAATTAAAAAAAGAAAACTTCCAGCAAGAATTTCAAATGGTTAATGTTTTCTGATTAATTAATATGTACTTTAACTTTTCCAAAAAGTCATTTTCCTTTGACTTATTTTTCACATATTTAATGCAATTAATTCCTTAGACCAAATACTTTATTTATTTATTTAGGTTTTATTAATTATTTATTATTGAGTGAAGTTGTAGGCAATCATACAGAAACCTTCAACTATGGAATTTTAATATCAAGGATTTATTTATTTATTTATTTTTAATTTATTTTTTAAAAATATATTTTATTGATTTTTTACAGAGAGGAAGGGAGAGAGATAGAGAGCTAGAAACGTCGATGAGAGAGAAACATCGACCAGCTGCCTCTTGCACACCCCCTACCGGGGATGTGCCCGTAACCAATGTACATGCCCTTGACCGGAATTGAACCTGGGACCCTTCAGTCCTCAGACCGACACTCTACCACTGAGCCAAACTGGTTTCGGCAATATCAATGATTTAATCATCTGCTCTCTTACATCCCTAACAAAGTCACTTGAAGAACACTTGCATTAGAATAGACACATTTTCCAAAATTATTTTTATTTTTTGTGTTCTCTCTATCTCTCTCACAAAAAAATATATATATATTTGGTCACTTCCACCCCCCAGCACATACCCTCACCCACTACTGTCAGTGTCCATTGGTTATACTTATCAAAAGCATGGATGGAGCTGGAGAGCATTATGCTAAGAGAAATAAGCCAGTCGGAAAAAGATAAATATCACATGATCTCACCCATCTGTGGAATATAATGATGAACAAAAGACATAGATCCAGAGACATAGAAGCATCGGACAGACTGGGGGGAAGGGGTGAGAAAGCAACTAAAGGGCCAAATACTTTTTAGCTGTTAATCTTTATAAACATACTTTGGCTAAAATGCACAAGTCCTTTGGTACGTAATAGTTTTTCCTTTGACAATGTTCACTTTTAAACCATCTCAGGGAAAAAAAAAAAAAAAAAAAAAAAAAAAGTACACATGATCCAGGACAGAAGCGTGCCAGGTAAACGCATACCAATGAGCTCTCAAAGGCTGTCTCTTGTGTGGACCAGGGAGCTTTGGGGAAATGTGAGGGATGCAGAGGGTCCTGCTGCATCAGTTTAATTTCTCTTGTTCATAAATAAACGGGTTCGTGGAGATCGGGGGTTTGCACCAGGCGTGCCTGTGCTCGGGGCCTCTCTGCCTTCCGCCTGCACAAAGCCATGCTTGGCTTCGGTTCATATATACTCCACCTTCGGCTCTTTCCTTCGCTCTTTATGGAGGCAGTAAAGGGAAGTACATAAAACTTAGTTGTTTAAAAAACCAAAGCTTCTAGTAACACAGTGGAATATAGCTTTTACTAAATCGGACATAACTGCCAGCACAGAGAGACAAATCACAGGCGCACAGCTGGGAGAACCGCTTGCGTGGTGTGTACATATCTGCCCATAATTCATGTGCCGTTAGTTCTGTTTACGTGCAAAAACCATCACTGAGATTACATTATTATGGTAAAAATTCAAGCTCTTTATTCTCACCCAAAGAAACTAATTTTAGGAATAAAAGACATGGTTTTATTTTTCCCATCTTATAGGCACACAAGCTGAAGCCTGTCATATTCTGAAACACATTTCGGTTTCCCAGGCAGGACAGTGTTATCCAAACGAATGGGACAGAAGTCAAACTGCTTTGTTACAAGATCCAGAATTACAGGGCCATATGTCATCACAATAATCTGAAAATGTTTTCTGATATTTACTGTCATTAGTCTCCATCCAGTTGGAGTTTACTCAAGTCAGAGTTTAAAATGTAAATTGAAAGAAGAACCAAGCTGAAATAAAAAAAAAGGAATGTACAAAAACATCTGTTTGTACCATTTGATATATGTAAAAAGAAGTGAAGTTTGACATGTCATGTGTATCCAATCTATTACCAAGTCCTGACTGTTTTCCACCTCCATATTTCCGTATTTCTCAAATCTCTCCCCTTTCTCCATTTCCATCTCTTCCCCCCGAATCCAGTCCACTAGGCTCTCTGGTGTATTAGTATAGATACTGTCCTGACAGGTCTCTC